CTGAGGGCTGTGAGGGGCAGGGGCTTGTAATTCGCAGTTTTAATTTTCCTTCTCAGTCGCTGGATTTTCCAAACACTCTGTAACCAGCCTGTAGAGATTTTATAATTGGGGGACGGGGATATAAAAGTGTGATTGTGAGTGCGTTTTTAAGTCTGGTTCCCTTTTTAAATGGTCTCACCAGATGTGGCTAGCTGGGCCTTTTGAGAGGTGGGCTGAACTCTCAAAGGCCCAGCTTTATCCGTTTGCTCCAACAGGCACAGATTTTAGCATCACCGAGTATCGACACCTCCAAGCTTGGGAAGAGACAGGATGGAGGAAAGCTGAGGTAAGCAGTATCCTCGGGCTACAACGTTCAACTCCTGCTCTCCTCTGTGGCAGAAATGCCAAGGGAAGATGAGATTCCACCGTTGACTCACTGAGTCATCTTGGCCTCAGTTTCCCCATCTGTAAAATGGGGGCATTGGGCTTATCTATCTCCAAGGCCATTCCAAGTGGGGCCTTTCTAGAATTCAAGGTATAATCAGGTCCAGGAAGGACTGGAGCTGGGATATGGTTCCCCAGTGGGATCACTTAACCCACAGGTAGTGAGAAAGTTTACAAAGGTCTGTCTCATCCATCTTCCTACTCAGGTCCAGGGAAGGTCTAAACCAGCAGCCACAGATGCAAATGCCTATGGAGGCCTGAGAGTTGACATGGACGACGGAATTGGTCTGTGTGTGAGAAAATAACCCCGCTAGCCCTTTGGCGAGTGACCCCTTATGGTGGGGCTCAGAATCAGGGAAGCAGTAGGGAGCTGTGGCTCCTGGGGCACACGCCCCATTTCATCAGCTCCAGCTCAGTGCTGCCTTTGCCCAGCATTGCCAGATCCACTGACATTTTAGTAAAACCTCCCAATATTTTAAAGTTTGGCCAAACCAAATACATCTGTGAGCCTGATGCAGCCTGGTGGGTATCAAGCTGTGACCGCCAGACTCAACTACCTGGGACCTTCCCCTTGAACTTCTCCAGGCAGGAAAATCTAACCAGTGTTCTGTTGCTCTGGGTGCCAGGAAGTTATTGCTCACATCCATCTAAAGCTTCTCCTGCTTTGAATCCTTTTTAGTTTTGTGTGGGTGGAAGTATGAGTGAGAATTGGCTCCTTATTAAAAAAAAAAAAAAACAACTTTCAGAAACTGGAAAAACAACTCAGATGCAGTGAACTAAAAAGCAAGTGGGAGTCAGCAGACCCACGTTCAAGTCTAGCTTTGTTGTGTATCATCTGTGTGATCTTGTGCAATTTGGTTCACCTCTCTGGGCCTTGGTTCTATGTTTGTTCCTTTCCCTCCTGGCCCTTTTGCCTCTGCCCTGGGGTTCATCTCCCACCCAAACCACATAAGGTTAATAACAGTTATAACTAGAGCTTCTTCCTACTGAGCAGGCTTCTGTGGCATGTCTTATGCTAAAAAATTTCCATACATTCTTTTATCTCATCTTCTCAACAATTCTATGAGATGGGTATATTTATTCCCATTTTACAGATTAAGAAACTGAGCCCAAGTCAATGGTAGAGCCAGCATATGAACCTGCCCACATAACTACCAGTTCTTCTGCCTCTTCCCCAGGCTCCCTGCCACCTGGCTAGGCTCCCCTTTGGCCACGATGGTCTTTCTAACACAGACCCAACTGTAACCTTCCACTGCTCAACTATCTTGAGAGGCTCCCCATTGCCTAAGCAGCTCAGCCTGGCATTAGTGGCCCATTAATCTCCCCAGAAGCCCCTTCCTATGTCTAATACACAATACACCCTAGCTCGGGGCTTCCCAATGACCCATGTATCTCATTCATGAGTTTTTCTTACTGTTCACCTAACCTAGTTTATTGTTTCTTTAATATCCATTATTTATAGGGTTGGCCAAAAAGTTTGTTTGGGTTTTCCCAAACATTTTGGCCAGCCCAATACTTCCTATTCATCTGTCAATTCATTCTCAACTTGAATTTATTTGTATTTATTATCATGTGTTCCTGCTGTTTAAATCACTTCCTAACACTCATTAAGAAGAAAAGCTGTAAAATGAGAAATGTTCATCTAAGTGCCATCGAAGTCTCCCCTTCCAGGACCCTTTGTGGGCTCCCCACTTTGGGAAGCACATCCTGAACTCCCACGAGCTCCTCTCCAGACTGGATGAGCTCTTCCTCACCCTTCAGAGCCCTGCTTCACCTGCATTTTGTTTGTTTGTTTGTTTTGGCCACTTGTGGAAATCTTAGTTCCTTGACCAATGATTGAACCCAGGGCACTGAAAGCCCTGAGTCCTCACCACTGGACCACCAAAGAACTCGCTCGACCCATAGCTTTAATTTTTTCATGCTATGTGTGCTTCCAGGCAAAGTGATGGACTCCCCTGCCCATCATTCAGCACAGAATTCCCAGGGAGTGGTCTGCCTTCCCCAGTGACCGCAAGCCCCTCAGGCAGGGACCAGGGCTGACTCATCTCCAGGCCCTGATCCTTACACAGGGCCTGGCACACAGTAGGTGCTTTGGAGGACCACCTGCCATTGCAAAGATAGGTACTTTGCAATGTTGAATGAATTGAATTGGACTCAATCAGCGTTTTTCAAAGCATGGGATGGGATCACAGGTGGCCCATGAGATGATTTGGGGAGGACATGAACTTAATGTGAAAATCACAGTAAGAAAGTTATTCTAATTCTCTCCCAGTCCTCTTTATGAGACCAAAGAGAAAGCTCAGTGCCAATATACCTGGAACACCTCTCAGACACTTAGCTTCTACTTCTTTTAAAAGAAAGAAAATAGTCCTGGGCTTAGAATCATCCACATTCAACTTAATACAGCCACAATTTTCCAATATATATTCACTTTCATTGCATTTATTTTTACAGTTACTTTCTATTCATGACAATGAATACCAATTTTTCATGGGCATAAGATTTCCTATTTAAATATATTTTTAAACTTACAAAGTAGTTGATTTCAAGAAAATATTAAGTAAACAATAAGTAGTAAATTTTATAATTTCTTTATACCTTATCCAGTAAGTAGTTATGCAAAAATTATTATAATAATATGGAAATTTCAGAAATGTGGGACTAGGTAAGCCCTAAGCCCTTGTCATAAGATGCTCTGACCTTGGGCTGCCCAGAACACTAAATAGCCATTAATCAAATCACCCCACAAACATTACAGCTGTGATGGGTGCCACGAAATAGAGATACATAGCATGCTAGAGTGAAAGGCAGAGGAATCAGGAAAGACTTTCTTGAGGAGGTGACATCGGGTGGAGATTCACAAGATGAATAGGAATTCATTTAGAGGAAGGTGTTCTACCTAGCAGGAACAGTATGTGCAAAGGCCCTGTGGCAGAAGAGAGCATGAAACATGAAAACTCGGAACCAAAGTCAGAGAGGCTGGAGTACTCTGACTCCAGAAAAGATGAGCAAGTGGCAACCTTTAATATTTAAAGACAGAGATAAGAGGAAAATCCATCCCTCACTCCCATTCAGGAAAGAATTGTTCACCCTTTGAGAGGAGCCACTCAGTGTCTGAGCTTTGATCTGAGGGGTCTGCGGCTCAGCAGGGCATCTGGATTCTAAAACAAATAACTGTGTTAAGTCTGAAACCGGGAAAAATGGCTCTGGGGTGGCCAAGACCACCCAGAGCAGGTTCAGAATTCAGGCTGTCCTAATTGCCACTTCCTGATAGGAGTGACCTTGGGCAGTCACTTAAGTTCCCAGAGCTTTGGGTCTTCATCTGTGGGGTGGAGATACAGCAGGTTTACTGTTAGAGGAGGTGTGAGTTATATGATCTCCCGTATGTAAATTGCCCAGCTCAGAGCCTTGCCTGTGGTGAGAGGTGAATATCCATTAACCCATGATGACTATTGTCAAACAGCTCCAATAGCGACATGCGTGTATACCTGCCCTGCGGTGTGTGGATTTAAGAGTCTGGTTTTACAGTATGTCTATGGTGTGTATGCAGGTGATTAAGCTCATATTCTAGCAATCTGGGGGAGCAGGCATACAAGGCTCGGGTTCGAGAGAGCATGTGTGTTCAGCAGTGTGAGAACGTTTGGATGCTCTGTGTGTGTATGTGTGAACCTGTCTGTATAGAAGTCTGCATGTGCACAAATTCAACTGACACAGATTCAACCTCATCCATCACAGTCAGGGATTAAAGTTGTGGCCTGTCCCCAGAGCCCTTTTCCAAATCCCCACCACTTCTGTGAACCGGCCCGGGGCTCCTGGCTGAAACTGGGCTGAGATTCCTTGAAAACAAGCTTTTCTTTCATTCTGTTTCCAGATATTGGCACAAACACACACACACACAGAGCACCCCAACCTTCTCAAGGTGCCAGCTCAGAAAGACATGGCCTGGGGGGTATAACCCTCCCTCCTCCCTCTCCCACTCCCCTAGGCCTACCCCCCACCCAATTCCCATGGGAGCACTTCCTCTTGGACCAATAAGTAGACCTGACTTTGCTTCTCTGAGTTGAAAGCAGCAACACCACAGCAAGTCTGGGTGAACAAGTCTCTCCTCTCCCCTCAGTACCCTAACCCACCTTGCCCTGTGGCACCGGACTGGGCTGAGAGGGGACTTGAACCCTGTCCCCATCCAAACACTGACAACAAGGCACATTTGTGACCCTCAGCCTCAGGTCTGAAATGTAACACCACCCCAAGTTTGTCCAAGGTTCAGAGCTAGGTTTCAGCTCTGATCTGTGCAATGGGATGGTGCAGTATCAAAGTTTACCAAACATCCAATCTTAATGCATCCACTTCACACAAGGACAGAAGCAGGCCCAGAGAGGAGGGGGGAAGCCATTGCCAGAGATGGGTTCCTGCACCCTCCACCCCACCCCTGCTGGTGGGGGCAGTTAAGCACAGACCCCTGGCCAGGAACTGAAGGTGGTCTCCACGTTAAAGGAGTCTGCCTTGGACACCCCCTCTAGGGCTGTGCACATCAACAGGGGACAGAGCAAGGTGGTCCAGGCCTTGGCAGGCGTTACCATGGTGACGGGGTACAGGCGGCGGCGACGACTGCTCCTCTCCTGGGTGACTCTCAGAGGGTCCGGTCCGCGCGTTGGTGCCTCCGTCTGTCGGATGCAGCTTCAGACCCTCCACCTAGCCCTGGAGCGGGCGGAGCGGGCTGGCCCCGGGGCGCCGACCCCGCCTCATCTGCGAGGGGAGCCGGGGATTCTAGCAGAGAGACAGAGGGGGTGCAGGAGAGACGCACGGTGATTGAGACTGGAGACAGACAAGAAGGGGAGAGCCGCGGGCGGAGAGGGCCGGGCCACCACCGAGGGCGGCCGCCGGGGCGGGGCGGGCGGGGCGGGGGCTGCTCCCCGCGTGGGACCCCGCGGCCGACGGCGGCCCCTCGGAGCCGGCGCCTTGCCCCCGCCCCGCCCGCCGCCGCCTGTGATGAGAACCAGACGCCCCCCTCCCGGCCCAGGGCCGCGGGCTGCCAAGGGGAATTTGATCTGGCCCTGTTCCTCACTGCTCCCGCCGAGCTCCTGCCTCCGTCATCTTGCACTCCGCCCACCCCAGGAAGCGCCCATTGTACAGACGGACAGAACGAGGCTCTGGCACAGTCCTGATGCTGGGTGAAGTGAACTCTTCCTCGTCCACTTGCCAGCTGGGGGGATTCCAGCAAGTCAGGAAATCTCGTAAATCAGTTTCCTCATCTGTAAGATGGGGATGGTGATGGTGGTAGTGATGATAATGGTGACAATGGTGACGATAGTACCTGCCTCTTAGATTTGGTGGCAAGAAGTAAGCATATGTCCCAAAGCCTTTCCCCTGTGAAGCCCACCCATGCTTCACCAGGACCTCCCAACCCAAGGCTTGGAGGAGATGGTGGTTGTGTGTGAGTACTAGTCTTGTTTCTCTAAAATAGCGACCGGTCGTGTGACTGTGGCCAAACCACTGTTCCCAGCTAAGCTTCAGTTTTGGAGGGAGACTGGAAAACTAGATGATAGCTAGTTATTCTTGTCGGGTGACTCTGGGATCCATCCACTCCTTTATCAAACATTGTACCATGCACTGAGCCATAACAGGACAGAGCCCCTGTCCTTGGGTAATGTACAGTCTGGTGCGAAAGATGGGGAAAAACACAAACAAGTAATACCTGAGTGTGTGAACTGCTAAGAAGGAAACAGACAAATGTTAATGGTGGGCACAGTAGGGGGAATCAGCCCAGAGCTGGTGGTTTAGGAAGGAGGAGAGAAGCCTAGATCTGAAAGACGGGGATGAAGTGGGAGAATCAGAGTTCCAGGCAAAAGGAACAGCATGTAAAAAGGCCCTGAGGTAATATTAAGCTTAAAGAAGTTGGGACTAAGCAAAGAACTGAAAACGGACGAGTATAGTAGTAAGGGTTTAAGTTCAAAGTCCAAGCATCATTCACAGCCCATCGCCCAACCCACATAGGTCAACCAGTCTTTTTGCAGAAAGTACCCAAGCTAGGAGCCATCTCATCTTGTTTGTATAACTTTTACAAGTCCCTTTTCACCCCTGGACCTCTGTTTGTTCATTGTTCATTCGGGACTAAGAATCCCCTATTTCTAATAGCTCCAGCCTGGCGGATCTCTTAATGGTATGTATTCAGCAATCAAACCCTCTCCAACCTGCAGGAGCTGGTCTGGATGGTTTTGGTATCATTACTCCAGACTCGAGCTTTGGAGAGAACAGACTTGTTGATATCAGGTGGCAGGATTCTGCTGGAAGTTGAGGGGATCATAGGTCGGAGGTTCTAGAGTTCCAGCTTTGCTGGGAAACAGAATTGACATGACATCTAGTGTTCGGGATTTGCAGGCAACGGAGACTGACTGTGAGTTAGGCAAAAAAAAAAAAAAAAAATGAAGGATTAGTGGAGTATGGGGTGCTCACAGAATCAGTGAGAAGGCTAGGGGCCATCCCCTGCAACATACAAGGTAAGTGGGATGGTCCTGGCAGGAATGAGCTGTAAACTCCTGATGACCGATCGAATTACATCAAGACAGACAACACACCAAAGTAGAGCTTTCCATGTGTCAGGTGGAAACTACTTAAGAATTACGATGTACATTCTATTATTGTCCTCATTTTACAGGTGAAAAAAACATGAGGTAATGAGAGGTTATGCAGTTTGCTCAAAGTTGGATAGGAGTTAACTGTGGAAACCAAAATTGGACTCAATTTTGCTCAATTGTGTCCAATTCTTTGTGACCCCATGGACTGTAGACCACCAGGCTCCTCTGTCCATCAGATTTTCCAGGCAAGAATACTGGAATAAGTTGCCATTTCCTACTGCAGAGGATCTTCCCAACTCAGGGATCAAACCTGTGTCTCTTGCATCTCCTGCATTGGTAGGTGGATTCTTTACCACTGCCCTACATGGGAAGCCAAAATTGGACAAGGCTGTCCATTTCTAGAAATAATGGTATTAACTACCTCCCTTTTGCTACCACAATGAATCCCAAGCTGTGTATCTCTCCTTGACAGTTTCAAAGACTTAAAAGAGATTCTCGCTGGGCCACATGCCCAAGGTCCTTCCAACCCCGAACATCTTAGATCAATTGGTCACCCAAAAGAAAATTAAGTTGCATACAAAGGGTGGGAAAGGATCTGAAATGGCATATAAACCACAAGTGTGCTCTTTATAAAGTCCATTGCTTGGCTCCACTGACATCCTTGGCTACTTTATTCCCATCCCATATTCTTCCAAAAATACTTTCTACTTTATGGTTCAATTCCACATACAACCAAAAATGTACACACACATACCCATACAGCCTTGGCCTCATGTTCTGTGTGACCTCAAGCAAGTTCACCTTCCTGTGCCTCAGCTTTATCCTCTGTAAGCCAGAGAGAATAATATTTACTTCCTCATAGAGCTATGGTGGGGATTAAATAAGTTAATGAGTGTAAGGTGCTTTGCACTGTGTCTGGTACATGGCAGAATTAATATACAACACTAAAATGGTGTTGTTTATGTTAGGGACCAACGGTTGTGAAATCAGCCTCTAAATACACGGGCTTAAATGCTGCATTGGATTTGGTTCATCTCCCAGGAACTTTCCAGAGGATTTTCCAAGAACTATTCAAGTATTCATTTCCTCTCTTTTTGGTAAATGAATAACTGAATCTTGCTCCAATTGCTCCACTAAATTTGGAGAAATAACAAAATCCATCACCGTTCTTACATACAGTGGAGTAGAGTAAACCGGGAAGGATGTGCAAATGGGATCTGCTCTGATGTGCTGTTCGGCCTTGCACAGATGGAGACCACAGTATCCACAGCATAAAGCACAGGTTATAATCTTCTCCTCCTGAGACTTTTGTGAGAATCCAATGAGATAATGCATCGAAAGGACTTCACACAGTGCCTGGCATGTAATAGGTCTCCAGCAAATGGCAGCTCTATCTATGGTTCTGAGATTCCCAGGGCCAGGTGCCAGGACAGCTCATCAGGGAACAGTCTCACTTGGAGAGAGAAAGTTGCCTAATTTTTTTTAAGTCATGGGATTCAGAATTTATTTATTCAGTAAATATTTATTTGTTCCTACTATCAGCAGAAGTACTTGGCACACGTGCATACATTCACCCCCTTCCTACCCACTGGAGACATCCTGAATCAATCATGGAACTTCCTGCTGAACCTAGAAGCCACCTCAGAATCCTCTTCAATACAGATCCCAGGTAACTGCTTCCAATCAACATGAGCTGGCATTGGAGATGAAGTTTATTTACCACCTGTGGTCCCTCATGTATAAGGAAGATTGACATTGGAGAAGACACAGACTCTGGATGCAGAAGGCCTGGGTTTGAATCTTGCCCCCTACACATCTTTATTAAAACGAGCAGGGGACTTACCTGTACAGTGGATAAGAATCCACCTGCCAATGCAGAGGACACGGGTTCGATCCCTGGTCCGGAAAGATTCCACATGCCACAGAGCAACGAAGCTTGTGCGCTGCAACTACTGAGCCCATGCTCTAGAGCCTGCAAGCCGCAACTCCTGCATCCCATGCACCCTAGAGCCCGCAAGCCGCAACTCCTGCATCCCATGCACCCTAGAGCCCCTGCTCCACAACAAGAGAAGCCACCACAATGAGAAGCCCGCACACCGCCACCAAGAGGAGCCCCCACTTGCCACAACTAGAGAAAGCCTGAGGGCAGCAATGAAGAACCAGCACAGCCAGAAAAATTTTTAATAATCAATTAATTAGAAATTAAGTTTAAAAATTATTTTAAAAATAAAATGAGTATGTATTGAGGCATTGTATCAGCCATGGAATGTGCCCCTTACATCTCCCTTCAAGCGAGAGTCTGTTGCAGGAAGTTCCATGAACCCTGGATGACTCAGGATACCACTTGTGGCCAAGGCCACATGCTTCCTGGACAGCCCCTGGCTAAGCACACTCTGCACAAGGGTTCACCCTTCTGCCTGATGTGGGACTCTTCTCTAAACAATTTCCATGCCAGAGCTCCCCACTGGGCTGGTCGAGACTCCCTCAGTGCTGTGCCACAGACTGAAACTCTTTCTACCCAGTCCTCCTTTCCTCCCCCTTTCCTTTTGCAGTTGTCGGACCTGCGGCACAGTCCTTGTCTCTCCCGGCTCCCTCTTCCCTTTATCCTCACAGGCATCACCCCCAGTGAATCTCTTGCACTTCTAACTCTGTCTGTGGTTTCTGTTTCTCAGAGGCTGCAACTAACACAGCACTGAACTGTAAAAGTCTGGGTTGAAAAGGAGTGGTTTGCTCCTCTTCTCTGGTGGTGCCTGTAGGGGGTGGCACAGAAATGCTTGTGAGGGCTGCGGGCCAAGAGTGACTCAGAACGGAGAGGCTGAAGGGCACACAGAACATCACCCCGGCCTCTCCTGGATGAAATTGACCTGACCCATCAAAGACTCTTGATTGTAAATGACAGAAGTTCAACTCAACCTGGCTTCAGTGAAAAAAGGGACTTTAGAGTCTTAAAAGTGAGAACTGGTGCCAGAGCTCTGTCATCATTCTTCAGGTGGTTTCTTTCCCGT